ACACAGTGCCTGATGTTGTGCCATTATTTTGAGCCTTTCTAATTATTTTCTTTATTTCTCTTTTCTTTATTCTCTAATTATTTTTCTTTTTTTTTCTTTTCCTTGTTATAGCCTGAGCTTTAAGTGCAAACTGATGATAAGAGACCAAAAAAAAATAAACATTTCCTTGTTATTAATTTGAAATCATTCTCTATATATATATGTATATCTCATTATCTACTACTTTTTATATTATATACTATTACTTAAACTTCTCACACACTCTGTAATACTTTATGTATCTTTTGGCTATTAGGGGACATTGTCCTATAGCCAGTTAATAAATTACATTACATTACATTACATTATTATTATTATTTTCTTATTTATTTTTTATAAAAATTAAAAATTTATTTATTATAATTTTTTAGATGGAGTTGAGAAGCATTTACTCAGATCAGCTTTTGATAAAGAAAATTTATTACCTAACAACATTCTGTGGCGTCCTAAAGAAGCATTCAGTGATGGTGTTGCTTCAATTAAAAAATCACTTTTCCAAATAATCCAAGAAATTGTTGAATCTAAAGTTACAGATCAAGATCTTGAAACAGCTCATTTGAAATATCCTCACTGTACTCCTAAAACTAAGGAGTCTTATTATTACAGGTAATTATTTTTAATAACTATTTTTCTTTTAACAAATTATTTTATCAAAATTCTACATGTTAAAATATTTTTAAAAATGTTATTTATGTAATCATCATGTATTTAATGACAAAAAAAAACTTTAATTAAAATTGTTTACTTAAAAATTTTAATAAATTTATTAATTATTATTATTTTTTTTTTTTCAGAAAAATGTTTGAAAAAAGTTATCCAGGACAAGCTGAGTCATTAATTCCCTACTTTTGGATGCCACGGTGGGTGAAAAACATCACTGACCCATCAGCAAGATTTATTAAACATTACGTCGCTGAAGAAGATTCAAAATAAATAAAAAAAAAAAAATATGAAAATTAAATCAGCCGACCTCTAAAAATTCTTACAATTTTTTTAATTAAAAAAATAATTAAAAGCAAAAATTTTACATGTAAAAAATTTAAAAAAAATTATTTTTTTACTTGTAATTGTTAAAACAAAAATTGTTGAACGTCGGCTAATTTTAATATCATAAAAAAATTATGTCTAAATTTATACACTGAATAAAAATTTTCTTTACACTCTAAATTTATAATTATTCCAAAAATAAATTTTTTAATTCTCTAAAAAGAAATTCTAAACCCTCAAAATTTAAAACTAAACGCCTAACGCGCATATGCAGCCGGTCTCTGAAGTGGAATAACCGTTTTTTTTAAATAATTTTTAATTTTTTTTTATCAATTATTAAGCTACGTAGATTAAATTTTAAAATTTTTATAAAGTTTTAAAATATTTACTGCGTGTATTTCTACTTATTAAAAAATATAAGTATCAACTGCGCAGATGGTTACGGGTTTCTTATTTGTTAGGATAAAAGCGCGGGCTTATGCGAAATTTGAATTTCTAATGTCAGACTAAAAGAAATTTTCGTACGTTATTTAATTCCCTATGGAATTTACTTAAATCCTCATCGCACACTGTAAGGAAGTATATACTTCGTTTATCTATGTTTTTGTTTGAGGATATATTGAATCTATAATCTCTTAAGAATTATAATATAATCCGGTAATGAGTCACACAAATTTGGTTAATTTTATAAAATTCAAATATTTTTATAAATCAGTTCTGCGCGGTAATTTGAACAAAGTCCACGCATTTTTAACTTTTTTTTTTTTTTGTATTTTTAATTCGTGACATAATTTGTAAATAATACACTTTGTATCATAATTAATTTGTAAATATCTATTTATTTGTTTATCTTTGTACATAGTGTTTATTTATTTAATTTTAAATTGTACATATTTTTTGTTTGTTATTTATTTTATTTAAAAAAAAAATATACAAAATGCGTTGGGATATATGCGATAACAATTGCGAAGAGTGTCAATCATTTATAGCCGATTTAGAAACGGCACGCTCGATACTAATTAATCATATTAGCCAAAACGAGGGTTGTGCAGTGCAAGACGTTAAAAACAGCATGATAAATGATCGCTTAAATTATGCTAAACGTGTCAATCTCAAAGTTGTAAGATATATATATATATATATATATATATTTTTTTTTAATTTTTCTTAATTTCTAACTATTTTTTTATTTTAATAGTTTCAGTTGAAAGGTGATATGTGTGAAAAAGCACAAAGACTTAATTATGAAGTCTCCGCTTATTATGACGCGACTGTTAATTTTTCAAATTACCGGAAGGAACCAGCTCAACCACCAGTTCAACAAGAATGTAAGTTTGATCATTAAAATGATTAATTTGTATATTATTAATTTAATATTTAATAATAATTTTTATTATTAATTTATATTTATTTAGAGTGTATCCCAATCCACGTTGGACAAGTCGGAGTATCCTCGATCACGGCCTGCTTGAGATTTGACGGAGCCCTCAACGTCGACTTGACTGAGTTCCAGACAAATTTGGTACCTTACCCACGTATTCACTTCCCTCTAATCACCTACGCCCCAGTTATTTCCGCGGAGAAGGCCTACCACAGCCTACGAGCAGCTCTCTGTCGCTGAAATCACCAACGCCTGCTTCGAGCCACCAACTGTCGTACCTGGTGGAGATATCGCCAAAGTACAACGTGCTGTCTAACACGACAGCCATCGCCGAGGCCTGGGCTCGTCTTGACCACAAGTTCGACCTTATTATGTACGCGAAACGTGCCTTCGTACATTGGTACGTTGGTGAAGGTATGGAGGAAGGTGATGAGTTCTCTGAGGCTCGTGAAGATTTGGCTGCTCTTGAGAAAGACTACGAAGAGGTCGGCATGGACTCTGCTGAAGGTGAAGGCGAGGGAGCTGAATAATACTAGACGTCCTTATGGGATTAATAAATTGACATGCTGATTGATGTTCTTCAGCTAAAGTAATATTTAAGACCATAATATATTTAAGACCATCGAGACCTTGTTTATATTTAATATCGTTTTTCATCTGTCGTATTATTATTATTATTATTATTATTATTATTATTATTTTTCATTTTGTATTGTTGTAATTATCCTGTGAAACATTCCTTTGCTTTATCAACACAACTGATGATATATTACTTGTTAATAAATAAATTAAAAAAATTTTTTAATAAAAAAAATTATAAAAATATGAAGATTTTTTTATGGAAATTAATTTAGCAGATAATTTTTTTAACAAATAAATTATGGTAAAAAAAAAAAATGAAATAAAATAATTGACACGTAGAAATTAAAAAAAATAAGAAATGGATTTTTTTAAAAATAGGGTAAATGCACCAGTTGTTGACCGGTCACCAATTAGTTGACCGATGTATAAAAAAGTTAATTAATTAATATTTTACAAGGGTTTTTTTTTTTCTTAAAGTATTAAAATAAAAAAATATGGCATTTAATCATCATAATAAAAAATTACGCAATTAATTGCGCAGTGATTATAGATTTAAAAAAATATTCTGAGTTTGTTTACAACGCAACCAGCCATAAAGCGGTCAAAAATAACTACCGTACAATTGGAGAGTGAGTGCATTTCATAATTAATTTAGTGATATTTATCGGCACAATATCAAATATTTTAGTTTTATTATGTTAATTAAAAATCAGATTCCAACTTTTTTGAAAAAATAAAGTTAAATTATAAGTTTCAATATTATTTTAAGA